TATTATAAACAATCAGAGCATTTTATTAATTACTTTTTTCAAGATAAATAACCAGAAGGGGAATTACTAACAAAAGGACAGTATTTTTAAAGTTTTTGATACTCATTGCCAAATACGTAAAGGTCTCTCCGTTGATCTTTCCTCAGGGAGGAGAAGTTGTGTAAGAGCACCTGGCCCCCACCCTCACCCCCACCCCACTGGTTTCAGCAGAACTCAGCGTTGCTCATCTGATTCATTTGTCTTTAAATCTCATTTTATTTGGAATCAGGTTTAAGTGAAACTTTTTTGAAGGATTCTTAAGAGGAAAAGGAAGATATTAGAGGGTGGGCTGGCTCCAGGGAGATATGCGTGTAGGGGTGGCGAGGACGGGGGGGGTTAGAGAGGGAAAGAAGGGGGTGACAGTGGTCCTAGGCCTGGTCCCATTGCAGGAGAGACAAGGACACTTTTGCTGTTGACTCCCTCCCCCCAGCTTAGGAGTCTGAGCCTGGTCTGTTCTGATGCACACAACCCCTGGCTCACTTTCCGCCCTGCAGCATGGGTTTGGGGGTGGGAGTGGGGCCTTCCTGTCTGGTTGATGCTGGCCTAGGATGGAATTCAGACTCAGACCATCTGCAACCTCCGAGTTTGAGGTTTGTGGAGAAGCTGTCTGCGAAAGAGTGACTAGAGCTGGGGCACCGCCTGTCTCCTCTCTGATGTGAAGGTCAGCAAAAAGAGAAAGGACCCCCCTTGGGACCTGCTCTTCGCACTCCTGAAATTGGGCAGAGCCCTTGCCAGTCCTGGCATGAGCCAGGCTGGCAGTGCCTCCAAATACATAGACTGGGGTTTGGTCTGAGTCACATGACAACAGCCCAGGTTTTCTTTTTCCCACTTTGTTGCTTCTTATACATAAAATGAGAATGTGTTTATTTAATACAGCTTTCAGACTTAAACAAATAATGACAGACTGTTCAAACAGACTTCGGAAATCGCCCTAATCAGGATGTTTGGAAAAGCAAGAAGACTGTAGGAGCTTTTAGGACCTTCAGTCCTGAGCCCAGAGGGTCCACTTGGCACTTTGGAACACAGATGGGCAAAGCTCAGAGGCCCGATTCAACCTCAGGGCGGTTAATGATGCCTCAGCCCACAACCTGACTTACCAATTGATGAGGAAGTACAGATGGGCATTGTAATTTCACTTCCTGTCTTCCACCGGAACACATCACGTGTGCATTTTAATTCACAATTTCTGTAGACATCACCAGGCATCTTTAGAGGGAGCTTATGAAGTGCGCTGTGGAAACCTGCCCTTCCCTCCTTCCCCTCGGTGGACCCTCTGGAGGGAGGAGCAGGTTCAGGACGCCTGCAGCAGGTTTGCAAGGGAGCAGACTAGAGAACAAGTTAATGTTGCCACTAGTTCACGTTCTGGGCCACGTTGACAAATGGCTTTGAATCACCTACGTTAATCTTCACAATAACCAATTTTATGGGTGAAGTAAATGAGGCTCAGGATTGGGTAATTTGTTCAAGGTCATGAGCAATAAAATGTCAAGGCTGGGATTTCACCCAGACCTTCTCTCCAAGTCCAGAGCTGTTCCCAGGCCCCTGGGGGCTGCATTAGCGCCTCTGCTCTCGGTCTTTGGGTCAAGAGATGCTGTGTTAGCTCATCCCCCACCAGATGTGCATTTTCTTTGTAACGCACATCAGCAATGGCCCATTAGGAGCACAGTGTCAGGAGAGGAAGGGGTATTTAGGCATGCATTTCTTCTGCCCCTGGGACTGTGCACCAGGCAGATGAGGAGGGAATGCCAGCCCATGTGTCCCTGCTTTCTCCACTTTCCTAGGATGGCTTCTTGTCCAGAAAGGTCAGACGGCCAGAGTCTTAGTCCGTTTCATAGTCAGCCACTATGACTATAGACAACTCCAACTGGTAACTAAAGAAATGTGGAGTCCAGCCACGGACCTTCTTTCCTACTGCCAGTGCTTCGAGGGTGTCCTTTGGCTGGGCTGTTGGGGGTTCCAGCTTGCCCACCCCTCAGGGAGGGCTCCAAGATGTTCCCGGCTGTGTCTGTGGGACCTGAGCTGCACTTTGCAAGGGGCAGTTTCTCCTGCCTCTAAATATGTCCTGACCCCTTTCTGCCCCAGTTATCCCTGATTATATACAGGGAAGGTATGTGTCTTGACAAGCAATCATGATTTTTCTCAGCTTTGTGCTAAGAGCACCAAGCACATACAGTGGGGCCTTGACTCAGGAGTTTTTTGAGATACCAGCTGTCTCTCCCCCGATTTTTTGCATTGAGTTGATAGAGTAATTTGAGTTAACGAGCTCCTTAACGAGCTCGGTCTCAGAACGAATTAAACTCGTAAGTCAAGGCCCCACTGTATTTCATTATCTGTTAGAGCAGGAGTTGGGAACCTTTTTTTCTGCCAAGGGCCATTTAGATATTTATAACATCATTCGTGGGCCCTACAAAATTATCAACTTAAAAATTAGCCTGCTATATTTGGTCAAACTTTTATTGAACTCCCCACTTAATGCCTTGGCAGGGCCAGACCAAATGATTTCTGGGGCCTTATAAGGCCCTCGGGCCGGACATTCCCCACCACTGTGTTAGAGCCTGGCTCTGTGAAGGCTCAATTTTGGATCATTTTAACAATAGATTTAAAAAGAAGAAAACCCTTGCGCCCTCTCCTGGTACAAATTAATCTAGTGCATCTGAGGTCCCGATCTCCCACTTGCTGGCTCACCATCTGATCTTGTGCTGTTGACACACTAGGTAGACCGTTGGGTCTTCTGTGGTCCATGATCACAAAGGTTCTTTAAAACCTTTCTTCACAGGCCACCCTGTGCATCATGGGATGTTGAGCAGTATCACTGGCTTCTGCCCACAGATGATCTCACCCCAAACCATGACTACCAAAAATGTTTCCAGATATTGCCCAACGTCACCTGTGGGGCAAGACCACCCTCAAGACCAGTGAGAACTGCTGCCCTAACCCCTTGTCTGCCTTTTGTAAAAGGTGTTACTGGTCCCAGGGCAACCAGTGAGAGGGTGGGGATGACTCCACAGAAACCTTTTGTGACTTTAATAAGCAAATTAAAAAATATATTTTTATTGGTTTTAGAGAGAGAGAAAGGGGAAGGGATATAGAGAAACATCAACGATAAGAGAGAATCATTGATCCTCTGCCTCCTGGGGATTGAGCACAAAACCTGGCATGTGCCCTGGCCAGGAATTGACCCATGATCTCCCTGCTGGCGCGGTTCAGTAAGCAATTTTGATGGCTGGTCAAGTGTGTTCACCTGCTAGGAATTTGTCTAAATACACACACACTGCACACATACACACACAACCCCCACATCTGAACAAGTACATAAAAATTTATGTAAGAGATGTAGCATAATATTGTTTAGTAAACGTTTAAAACAACCCAAATAAAGAATTGGTTCAAGGAAGCACAGCATAATATATGGAATACTATGCAGTCATGAAAAATAATTGTGTAAATCTTTATTTAGTAATGTGAGAAGTTCCCCTAATGTCTTAAACTCTCACCTCCAAGACTACTCCAAGATTCCCAGCGGTGGTTGTATTTAGAAGGCACACTTTCAAACAGGCAGAGTAAGCATCTGGATGATGTATTAGGTCAAGCATGTCAAACTCGCCGCCCCCGGGCCGTGTGCCTTGTTTATTGGGTGCATGTTAGCCTTTGAATTTGACATACTTGTATTAGGTTAAAGAGAATTCAAACCAGTGAATGGATTCAGAAAACTTGAATCATTCATTGAACATTTATTAAGCACCTACATGGACAAGACCATGCACAGCACTGGGAGACAATGATACCTGGTCCCTTTACTGCAGTATTTGCCCCAAACAGACAAAAGCACTGTGAAGGTTGTCAGAACCTCCATTGCACAGCAATGTCAGAAGTTCCCACGTGTTCCTGTCTCCCATAATGAAATCATGCGCTCCCATTCCAGGTTGTTGAAATGCCTAAATAAATCACACCATGTGAAAAAGCATTTCATTTACTGAGTTATATATTTAGATAGGTTTACAGAGTTGTCCAAATAATAATTGGGTCCAAATGTGGAACCGAATCTTCCCCAACAAATCCAAGGAACGAGCTAAGACAACCCAGAGACCTTTGCTACAAACACTGCAGGCCTGGCTTCTAAGCAGCGGTACAAAGGGAAGCCAGGAGCCATCTTTGCCCAGGGACCTGTGTGTCCATTGACACAATCTGACCATAAATGACCACATGCCTTGTAAAGTTCACAACTTGAGTTAAATTGCTCCCCCCCCCCCGGCCCCCGCCACCGGGAGAAACCCAAGGATGGCTTTCTTTCCCAGAGAGCACCCTGTCCTTGACCTCAGAAGCTAGGCCTGCAACCAGCGGAGGCCGCCCTGCTGTGTCCACATCAGCCTCCCGGGCAGACCAAGCACTCACCGAGCTGTTGTTAGGGCGTCAGCAGAATAAAGGGCACTGGTTGGATCTGGGTTCAAATACTGGCCCTACTGTTGACTAGACAAATCCTTTACCCTCTGTGATTCTCAGGGTTTTTCCACCTACAGAACAGGAATAAACAAAACGACTCCATAAGTCTGGCATGAAGAATAAATAAAGTAATGCATGTTAGGCATTCATTACAAGTGCCTGGCATATAGCAAGCATTCAATAAAGGAGTGTTGTCATAGTCATGGGGTTTTATTATACCTATGAATGGCCATGCTCATGAAAATTGCAAAGCCTCCCAGATTTGTAACCGCCTTTTCTGTTTTATTTTCCCCCTTTGAACTTACCAGTCTCTAACATACGTATATCATACATTTATTTTGTTTATTGTCCATCCCACTCGACTAGATAAAAGCTTTGTGAGGCAGGAACTTTCAACCTATGTCATTCACTGCTGTTTCTCTAGGATCTCAATAAATAATTCTTGAATGAAAATGAAAAGAATGGGTCCGCTCTCCGTCTCTAATTCCCTCTCTTCTTCTTCCTTCCTCTCTCCCCTGCAGGACGCCTTTGTGGAACTGTATGGCCCCAACATGCGGCCTCTGTTCGATTTCTCCTGGCTCTCTCTGAAGGCACTGCTCAGCCTGGCCCTGGTGGGAGCTTGCATCACCCTGGGTGCCTATCTGGGTCACAAGTGAAGGCAACAGGCCTGCCCCAAACAAATATGCAAAAGGTTCATGAAAGCAGTAGAAATATATGCATTGTTGGGATGTACCATGAAACGGAGCTATGGTCTCTTAAAAACAAGCAAACAACAAACAACAAAAACAGCTTTCAGGCTCCACGTCGAATCAGCTATTTACTGCCAAAGGGAAATACCATTTATTTTTTACATTATGGAGAAAAAGATTTATTTATTTAGGACAGTCCCATGGAGCACCCTGTCCTTGGAAAGCCTACTACCAGTCATTGCCAAGCTCCACCGGTGTGGCTCCACCTGGATCTCCTGTGCCTATAAATGGATTCGCTTTCCATGTTAGTGGCCGGGCTGACTCACCATCTGAAGGGCAAACTGATGGAGAACATGACTGTTCCAGAAGCCGGCCTGCTGGCTGCTGGAGGTTTGGAAGAAGGTGTTCATTTTCCTTGCATTGATTTGCCCCCGGGGGCTGTGATATTCATAGAGGGAGGTGCTTGGAGGGAAGTGCATTCTTTTCCGGCCGGAAGAACCTACACTTTGCATATGGCTCACATGGTACATGCCTGGTTGGCAGAAAAAAATGAAAAGGGAACTTCAGATGGACTTGGTATCCGCCAAGATTTCCACACCGAAGGACAGTGGTAGGAAAAATGCCCTTAAACCTTAGGAAAGTATTTTTTTAAGCTACCAATTGTGCCGAGAAGCATTTTAGCAATTTCTACAAAATCATCCAGTACCTTAAGCCCTGATGTGTATATTCTTATATTTTGGATACGCTCCCTCTCCAAAAACTGGCTCTGTGCGTGAAACAGAATCCTTGGGAATGCGAGGAAGTGGACGTCTCGGCGACTCCTTCGGCATCAGGAAGGCTGCAGTTACAGAAGCATCAGGCCGCCACAAGTGCCTGCCTTTCCGCAAGAGGCCGCGGTTGGAAGTCCCGCTTCGTCCCGGTTGGGAGGCCTCATCCTGGAACCGAGCCTGGGCACTCGCTGGCCTGCTCCATGGATTTCAAACAGAGGCCTGTGGTCTCCCGGCATCTGGAAGCTGAGGAGTCAGAATTCCACTGTCAGGAACGACGAGCAGGCTGGGGCCTGGTCCACCGGGGCCCTCCAGGGAGGCCCTTTTCCATGTCGAGTGTGGAGCCTGGAGCCTGGGAACCAACGCTCCTAAGATGTTTGTCACTGTGCAGGGAAGGAAACAGAGGCACTCTGCCCTTCCTAGCAGAGGGAGGTGGTGAAGGCTGGAGCGCCCCCACCGAAATGGAACAGCAAAGAAAGGAGGCATGTCCGCGTGCAGTGTGGCTGCTGCGCATGCATGCGAGTTGGCTGCGCGGCCACCCATCCGTCTGAACAGTTTAGAGCGAGGCTTTACGTGACTTAGGGGAGGGTCATAAATCCTGAAGGAAGCACTGGGATGAGGTGTCATGGATTAATTGACCCATGTCTGTGGAGTTGCGATGTAAAACATTATCTTGTCATTGTAGTTTGGTTTTATTTGAAACCTGACAGAGGGGGGAAAAAAGTTCCAGGTGTGGAATGTGGAGTTTATCTGTACCTCCTGGGCATTAAAAGAAAAAAAAAAAATAGTGGTGGACAGCTCTAGAGAAGTAGTGAAAGAAGTGATCTTCAGCTGATAAACTAGGAAATATGTCAAGTTTAGAGAGTCTGAGACACACGTGGAATAACTGTGGCATTATTGCATTATATACCATTTATCTGTATTAACTTTGGAATGTACTATGTTCAATGTTTAATGCTGTGGTTAATATTTCGAAAGCTGCTTTAAAAAAAATACATGCATCTCAGCATTTTTAAAAATTGTATTTAGTTATGGCCTCTACATTCTTTGTTAGCAAAAATGAACATTTTTCCATTTGAGAGTCTTGTCTCTTAATTGTTTAAAAGCATTTCTGAGAAGATGAGCTAAGTCCCAGGTCTCAGCTACTGGAGATACCCTGGAGCACGCTGGCCACGGAGTTATGTGCACTTCCATGACCACATAATTGTTTTGCAAGGGACATACCTGTTGTCCCTTTGCCTGTGTTCCTTGAGGGTTTATTTGTCCCTGGACAAATCAGAATTCAACTCACATTATTTAGGCTTGCATACATGTTTGGTTAAACCCATGAGGTTCATTCAGTTGAAAATCGAGATGGGAAGTGACCAGGGGATTAAATTCTGGCTCCGATGGTTTGACCTTTCAAGAGTTGCTTTCCATGGCCTGTTTCCACACAGACTCCTCCAGCTCCCTCCTTCCGCAGGGCCCTTTCCCTGGCTGGCCTTCAGGTTTTTCCTGACATGCGGTGGCACTTACGCCCCATGCCCCACACCGAGAAAGCAGGAAACCCCATGGTATGAAGCCAGACCTCCCTGGCGGGCCTCAGGGAACGGGACGATCAGACCTTTGAATGATTCTAATTTTTAAGAGAAATATTATTTTATGAAAGGTTTACATTGTCAAAAGTGATAAATATGGAATATCAAATCCTGTGCTGCTATCCTGCCAAGATCATCTTAATGGAGTCAGTTTGCAGTACACTCCAAGTGGCGACAGCCTCCAAGCTGCTTTAGAGTAACAATGAAGAACATGGACGTTTTTAATATAGAGTCTGTTTGTCTTTTATTGTTGTTTTTGTTATTGTTCAAACTGGGATTTGCAGAATATTCAAAAAAATGTATATATATATTAAAAAAAAAAAAAACCTCCCAGGGGTTGGCTTCTGGCTGGTTTCCTTTGCTGTGGGGTTTTGTTATCTGGTTTTGATGGTGAACGTGCCCAGCTGCCTGCCCCCAGAACTGTACAGTATTGTGGCTGCACTCACTCTAAAAGTAGTTATGTTGCATTTTTCTTGTTGTTAAAAACATGTTAGAAGCAACGAATGTATATAAAGCTTCAACTAGTCATTTTTTCTTCTCCTTTTTTTATTGTCTCAATTATTTTGTGATCAGACAACCAGAGGACCATTCCTACTTATTTCTTGTTGAGAAGAGATTCACACCCGAATACATGGTGCATATGTTGGCCAGGGTCAAGGTTAGCTAGAACACACGCACTTTCCCAATGGGGGTCAAGGGCTCTAAACAGAACCACAGGAGAAAATCACTGAAGAACCTCTGCAGTCCTCCCAAGCCCCAGTGCAAAAGCACTCCGAAAGAGAGATCAAAACAGTCAACATGTGCTATAGCAGACAGTTCATCTGAGTTTGTACAGTGGCTGAAAAAAAAAATCTTGTATGTTTTAAGATTTGGGTTAAAGTCACATTTCGAATTTAGGAAGCACCTTTCAATATTCCAACAAACAAACAAAAACATATTCTGCCCCAACCCACTTATCTCTGCATATTCAGATTGACTTTTATTTCTTTAGTAAGTATTTATTGCTTATCATTGAAAGATCTAGTCCTGGCCCAGTGTGGGAAATTCGGAAGTGATTATAAATCAAGAGGAGTTATAATAATCAGGATGAAACATAAATAAGGCAGTCCCCCACACATGTCTGGTTTTCATATTAAGGTTCTACTAATTGAACAGAATTGCAAGTCATCTAACATGTAATTAAACTTATGCTAAAATGACTACAAATGCGAACATAAATTCTCATTTCAATTGTACTTCTAAGGCAGTGGTTGTTTTTATCCTTTCTTATCACTAATAGTTAGTAATGTACACCTGCTCTATCAGAAAGAAACAGGAAGGGCTTGAAATACAAGCCATGCTAAGGAAATTAGGGAGTCAGTTGAAATTCTATTCTGATCTTATTCTGTGGTGTCTTTTGCTTCCCAGACAAATGCGGTTGCACACTTTTTAAAAAATACAATTCTACATTGTCAGGCTTATGAAGGTTCCAACCAGAACTTTATTGTTATTCAATTTGGATCTTCCAGAGATTTTTTTTTTAAATTATTATGGGACAAAGGACATTTGTTGCAGGGGTGGGAGGGAGGAATTTTCAAAAGAGCAAAACATTCCCAAGATTGGATTAGAGCATGGAGGTTTCAGAACAGCCAGGACTGTGGGGTATGAAATGGAAATGAGTGTGACCTTTTGCTAGAGGTCAATGTCATATCTCCATGAAGGAACTTACAAAACAAGCAAGAAACATTTTAAAGTTCGGTGATAATGATTAGATTCTAGAGACATCAGAACAACTCAAAATCCAGCTCTGTACAGCAGTGCATAAGGACCAAAACTCTTAAACAATTGCCCGCAATGGCATATATTTCAAGCCTGGGTATGTCTAATGACTACTTAAACAATAAATTTGCAGTTCTGAACAATAGGATATTTAATAAAAACCTTCTGGTTGGTAGGAACATCTGTTTCTAAGTATTTATCATGCACAATACAGAAAGAAAATAAAAACAAAAAAATGTAAAACTCGATTGAGCAAGTGGTAATACAGGTCCATTGTCTTTAACCCCAAAAATCATTCTGTTCCATGTCTGTGCTCATAGGACAGACCTTGGACAACCACAAAATATGCATCCCACTGGACACAAAGAAACCCAGCTGGAGTATGAATGGTATTGCACCAATTCATCATGCTACCCCAGAAAAATAATTTAAAGCCAATTTCCTGTTGATGATAGTTTGTTTGGGGTACCAATGTAAGCCTAGCAAACAAAAACACCGGTGCAAGACAGAAAGACTTCATCAAAAGATCCTGGGACTGTTACCAAATGTGACTGTGATGTGGATACTTGGTAATGCCATTTACCTAAACCTTTTGGCGACTCTGTAGTGGGCCTTCCAAGCTAGCTCATTAAGTTTTTCCCTCTGGGGCACCATTTGAAGGAGTGATAGCCAATCAAATTCCTCTCGGGGAAGTGTTAGTGGTTGTGTTTAATATACTGTCTTCTTAAGTTTTCAACCAAGCTCTGCTTTTGTTTTGAGATTATTTTTGTCTGAAATAAAATAAGTGTATAAAAAGTGTTTTTGTATTGAAAGCTTTTGTTATCAAAATTCCACTTTGACCTTCCATGACTGCTTTTAAGATGAATACTTTTTAGGGATGGCTGCTATCCTGTAACACTTCACACACACGCACGCACACACACAAACATGGTAAGCATATTTTAGATGGTTAAGATAGAGTAAGTCTCTAGTTGATCAGCATTAATGAAAGGGCCTTTTTTGTGTTATCAGAAGAATCCACCTTGCTATTAAACTTTCCTTGTCTTTTCAGTTACTATTGTGAAGAAAAATAAAGTACAATGTGAGATATTGGTTGTGCCCTAGAATTGTTTATAATGTGGTGACAAGACTTTGCTCTGCCATTCATCGTCATTAAACAAGACTTTAAAAAGCCCCTTAACAAGCCAGTAGAACCACCAGAAACCTCATGCTAACGAAGCCCCAGGGGACCTGGCTATGGATTGCCTTACAGGTGAAACCAGTAAAAAGGCAGCCCTTCTGTTTCCTGGTTACTAAACCTCCAGGTTAGTTAGATCCAAGATGGACTAGGCTTGGGTTCTTCTCCCAAAGAGAGCCATTGCTGTTATTGTGTGTGCTTGTCCACACCAAGTGGCGATCCCAGCCTTTACCTGCAATCTTATATAATAAAAGAGAAACATGCAAATTGACCATACCTTTGCTACACCCACAAGCCACGCCCACCAGCCAATCAGGAGCAAGTATGCAAATAAACCCAACCAAGATGGTGGCAGCCATGGAGCTGGAGCAAACAGGAGGCTTGGGTTGCCCCTGGCGATGGAGGAAGCCAAGCAGCCCTGGCTGGCTGTGGGCTCCGCTCAAGGCTACAAAGTTTCAATTATACAAGATAAATAAATCCCAGATACCTGCTTCCAGCCGCTTTGGCCTCCGCTCAAGGAGGGTCTGGGAGCCTGGGTTTCCTGGGGCCGTGGACAGCTGGAAAACAGCCATCAGCCCCTCACCCAGGCTGGCCAGACACCCCAGCGGGGACCCCCATACTGAAGGGGGTGTGA